TCGAGCTTCTTTCGCAACTGAGGTGCTGCGATGCAGGGGCCGGCGAAGAGGAGGAGCAGCAACGCGTTCATCCTGGGGTGACTCTAGGCAACCCGCAAGGAAAGAAAGGCAAGGCATGGGGTTTAGGGTTTAGGGTTTAGGGTTTAGGGTTGAGGGTTGAGGGTTGAGGGCTGAGGTTTCAGGGTTTTTAGGGTTTAGGGCTTAGGGGTCAGTTTGAAGTTTAGGGCTTAGAGCAAGCTTAGGTTTCCGGTTGAGGGCTTCTAGGCTCATGCGTCGAGATAAGGGCCCTAAACCCTAAACCCTAAACCCTAAACCCTAAACCCTAAACCCTAAACCCTAAACCCTAAACCCTAAACCCTAAACCCTAAACCCTAAACCCTAAACCCTAAACCCTACAAGATGTTCCAGATCACGCGAAGCATCCTGGGTTTGGCAAAAAACGGACAGGGGGACTCGCAAGGGATCCTAGGGAAGTTCTGGCTGTGAGCAATTTTGGCTGCGGAGTCAAGATCACTGCAGTTTCGGGTTTAGGGTTTAGGGTTTCGGGTTTCGGGTTTAGGGTTTAGGGTTTAGGGTTTAGGGTTTAGGGTTTAGGGTTTAGGGTTTAGGGTTTAGGGTTTAGGGTTTAGGGTTTAGGTTCTAGGGTTTTGGGGTCTGGGATTGCTCTTGCACGTCGTTGCATGGAGCACTTCTGAGGTCCTGCTCCTGTGCACCTACAGCTACTGAGTATCGACAGCCCCACACCCACTGAGCAGCCAGTCTTTGCGTTGTAGAGCTCATGGTACCCCTATAAACCTTAAAAGCCCTAAACCCTAAACCCTAAACCCTAAACCTTAGACACCCTAAACCCTGATTTTGGGGTATCCGGGTTTGGGGCTTTTGGGTTCAGCATGTGCAGAGGCCAGGCCCAGACAGGACCTTACAAACCCTAAACTAAACCCTAAACCCTAAACCCGAAACCCTAAACCCTAAACCCTAAACCCCAAGGCCTTGGGATGGAAACTCTGGTCTCCATGGCCTGGCCACGAGCTTGAGGTGGTTTAGGGTTTAGGGTTTGGGGTTGAGGGTTTGGGGTTTAGGGCTTGCGGTTTAGGGTTTAGGGTTTAGGGTTTAGGGTTTAGGGTTTAGGGTTTAGGGTTTCGGGTTTGGGGTTTAGGGTTTAGGGTTTCGCTTTTTCGTGGTCTGTTGCAGGTTATGGGGCTTTTGGGTTGGGGTCTGGAAAGGTTGGACCTGAAGCAAACTGTTTGGGCGGAAAGGGTGTTGGGTTTGAGGTTGTTTTGGCCCTCAACCAGTCGGGCTTTGGCAGCTCAGAGGCTGCACCGAGTAGAAAAAATGTCTGTTTTGCTACCTGGGATCTACAAAGAGCCCATGTCCCGCTAAACCCTAAACCCTAAACCCTAAACCCTAAACCCTATAAGAATCGAAGGTCGCTGCCGAGAACCACGGGGATCAGGCAGGATGCGCTAGCAGAGGTTTCGGAGTTTCAGGGTTGTGGGTTTAGGGTACCAGGCCTTTAGGGTTGAGGGTTTAGGGTTTAGGATTTAGGGTTTAGGGTTTAGGGTTTAGGGTTTAGGGTTTAGGGTTTAGGGTTTAGGGTTTAGGGTTTAGGGTTTAGGGTTTAGGGTTTAGGGTTTAGGGCTTATATAGGGTTTAGGGTACGGGGCGTTTAGGGCACACAGCGTGACAGCAGTCCGTTGGGTTCCCAAGACATTCAGGCTTCGGGTTCGGAGGTATTCTTGGTGTTGCTCAGTGTTGAGCCCGGACTAAACGTGGGGGATAGGATTAGGGGGATCCTTGGGGATATAGACCCTCTGAATAAGGTCCCTGTTTAAGGGAGCCAGAAGAGGGTTAAGAAGCGGTTCCCTCTTAAGGGTCCCCCTTACCCTACCTAGGAAAACGGCCCCTATGATGCCATACTCGTGTTAGGGTCGCGGGGCCTTGGGACGCACGGATTTCGGGTTTAGGGCGAGTTCAGACAGCAGTGCTTTAGGTTGAGAGTTGAGGGTTTGCGGTTTGGTTCCGGGTTGGCTAAATGGCTCGATGGAGTCAGATGACCCATGGACCCCAAACCTTATCAACCCTAAAGCCAGAAGCCTCATAAGCCCTAAACCCGTGCAGCTCCTGGCATGACCCAGCCCGGGTTTAGGGGGTTTGGGGTTTAGGGTTTAGGGCTTAGGGTGTTTTCCTGCGCGTGCTGCGAATCGTTCCGGCTCTGCCCCAGCTGTGCCGCTGCTCGCGTCATGACTGCAGCCGCCGCCGCTTGTGGCACGTCTCCACTGTGCTGCTCGCCTCCACGACGGCAGCCGCCTCCGCCTCCGGCACGCCTGCCGAGAAGAGGCTCAGCTTCATCCCGATTTCGGGCCACTTCGCGACCATCTCGGCATACGCGGGGAGCTTGAGCACCTCGGTCAGGTGGCGCTTGATGTAGGCGAGGCAGGCCTTCTCGAGCTGCTTGGCCTGGAAGAGGTGTGCCTGGCCGAGTATCCCGCAGACCTCGGCTGAGCTGAGCCGTTCGCAAAGCTGCGCTTCGCACCACCGCTGCAACCTGGTGGCCTGGTACTTGTGGCTTACAGCGAGCAAGGCCTGCATCTGCAGCAGCTGCACATTGCCATCGCCCCTCTGGTCGCTTGGAGCCTGGGCCGCAAGCTCATCGATGGTGGGCAGGCGGTCGGTGTACAGGAACTGCAGGAAGGCTTTGAAAATAGCCACATCGCAGTCCTCGACCACGATCACCTTGGAGGCCGTCTCCTGCATGCCGCCCGTCAGCTGCTTCTCCAAGACTTCGGATCTTGCACAGAGGACTTGCGAATGCGCATGCACATCCTCGCCCTGCACGATGAACCGCACGTCGCTGCACGTGCCTTTCTCCAAGAGAGCTTTCGTGTCGCGGTTCATGGTAGCTTCCGGAACCTCGACCGTCTGGCTGAGGACCTTCGACTCATAGCACCCCTCAGGTCGCACCTCAAGCACAAACTTCAAGGTCAGCGTGTCGTCCTCCACCCACTCGGACTGCAGCAGCTGCTTGAAGGTGAGCCCAAAAAGGCCGGTGGCCGAAGGATGGCCCTGATCATGCCAGCTCACATCCGGCCCACAGGCTGTGACATCCCCGTCAAGGACCTCGTCACACGTCTCACCCCACTGCACGAAGGAGCCACTGCGTGCCTTGACGTAGATGCGGTACCTTCGCTGCTGAGTTCATAAGCCCCCCCAAAAAGTGTACACTTTCAGCTCTTCTGGGGGAATTCTATAGCATCCCAACAAGTGTAAAGTGTACTCCTTCAGCTCCCTAAACCCTAAACCCTAAACCCTAAACCCTAAACCCTAAACCACCCAAGCCACCGAAGCAGGACGGCCTCGCCGGGGTCGGCCATGATGGCCACCGAGCCCTGCGCAGACCGATCGTGCGGGTCGAAGGTGGAGTCGAGGTCGCCTCCGTTCGGGTTGTAAACGAACCTTGGTAGCCCAGAACTTGGAGGCTCATGGTACAGTAAAACCCAACTATAACTACCAACTGTACTTCTAACCCACTTAGAAGCTCTTTTAAGTACTCTCATAGAGTTCTTACGAAGTACCATGAAGCTCCAAGTAACCATCTTGTAATAAGGGCACCCTTTTTTATGGGTTGGTTACTTCAAAAGGGGCACCTTGAGCCAAAAAAGGGAAAAGAACACCACTGGGCTACCCAAGGAGCTGAAAGGGAAAGGTATCCACCCAGAATATCTCAGACTGCGCCGTCAAGAGCTCCTCCTGGCGAAGCATGCTCGGGAGCCATGAGACCTGCTGGAGCTTCCACACGTACTCGCCGCGCGCGACCGCGTGCCCGAAGCTGGTGCACTGCTCGATGCTTGAAGCCGACAGGAGCTGCGGCTTGGCAGTGTGAGGCTGGGCCTTTCCCGGATCCGCAAGATGCTTCCCTGCCCTGTCCTTGTCCACATCGTCCCGGAAGGCGCTCCAAAACCGATTCCGGGTTTGCTTGGTGGACAGGGTGGCTCTTGCCTGCTCCAGCTCACGCCGCAGCCGCTGCCGCTCCGTGGCCTCGTCGACCTCGATGTCGATCTGTCGTGCTCTGACATCCTCGGCCGCAGCCTGCTGCTTGGCCGCCTCGATCTCGGCGCGCAGCTCCTCCGCCGTCAGGCCCGCCATGGCGCAGGAGATGCTGACCTTCTCGTCTCTTACACAAGCCCTGGCAAACACGCTAAACCCTAAAGCCCTGAACCCTGAACCCTAAACCCTAAACCCTAAACCTTGCAGCAACTTCAAACCTACTCAGCTGCAGCTAGAGAGGCAAAGCTCTCGCTCTCGAGCGCCGGACGGCACATGCACAGCATGCCCATGTTTTGGGGTGTTAGGGTTTAGCCCCGAAGTGCTCACAAAGATTCAGAGCACGAAGACAAGAGCAAGTGAGGAAGGTCCCTCAACTGGCGGACTGTTAGAAAAAGGGGGGACATCCTAAGGGGTTTCTATCACAATGCGGAGCCTTTTTTAGGTTACACAGGGTGGGGCCGTGATTTTTAGAAGCACTGCTCAAATGGCGAAAATATCGCTCGAGCGGTGGCTACGCGCGAGGGCGAGGGCCCAGAGACGCTGCATGGATACCTCTTGCAGGATCTCTACGTTGCGGCCCTAAACCCTAAACCCCTAACCCGAAGCCCAAAACCCTAAACCCCCTGAAACCTAAACCCCCTGAAACCCTAAACCCTACACCCCCTGAAACCCTAAACCCCATGAGCCTCTCGAAGATGCAGCAGCTCCGAAGCAGCCCAGCAGCTTGGGTCGTGGTGGAGTGCCGCCTGAGTGTACTTGTAGGGCTCTTAAGGGAGGGTTTAGGGTTTAGGGAATAGGGTTCAGGGTGTAGGTCCTTAAGGGAAGGGGGTTCAAGGGGGGTATCTAACCCTGTACTCCCCACTACTCCCTAACGCTCCCGAGGCTTCTTTAGGCCTCAGGGTTTTGGGCCCCCCAAACCATACATGGAGGTTTCCGAAATTGGGGGTACCAGTTTTGGGGGATCCCTTTAAGGGGACTCTTTTCTATTTGGGGAAAAATTGGGGTACCCCTTAGTTTGGGAAATACCCAAATCCCAAACCCAAAACCCCAAACCCCAAACCCTACACCCTAAACCGTAAACCCTAAACCCTAAACCCTAAACCCTAAACCCTAAACCCTACACTGTTCAGGCTTTAGGGTTCTCAGAGCTTCGTTGGCATGGGGCTTCTTGGGACTTGGGAATCGTTGGGTTCTGGCTCGGCGGCTTGATTTAAGCAGGGTTTAGGGTTTAGGGTGTAGGGTTTAGGGTTTGGGGTTTAGGGTTTGGGGTTTGGGGTTTGGGGTTTGGGGTTTGGGGTTTGGGGTTTAGGGTTTAGGGTTTGGGGTTTAGGGTTTAGGGTTCAGCGTTTATGGTTTAGGGTGTAGGATCTAGACAAGGCTACAAGGCCGATTCTCTAGATCACCGTCCCCGTTTGGGATCCTCTACAGGGTACCAAAGCGGCATATAATTTGGAAGAATTAGTTCTCCTGCTCGTACCCTACCTCTCACTAACCGTGAGCCCCCAAGTACCCTCAACCCCGAAAGGGCTGATGGTTGAGGGTTTCGGGTTAGAGTTTAGGGTTTAGGGTTTAGGGTTTAGGGTTTAGGGTTTAGGGTTTAGGGTTTAGGGTTTAAAGCTTAAAGTTTAGGGTAAGAGGCTGGTGGTTCAGGGGAGTCCGATAGGACGTGCGGAGTTGGGGGATTTGGAGATTTGGGCTCCTTGACCTGTCGCTGTGTTCGGAGAGCAGCGCTGAGCTCGGAATGGCACGCGGCTAAAGCACAGCCATTCCTCGCGAAGAGCTCTCTGTGTTCCTGCGCTTTGCTGCTTCCCATTCCGGCTGTGCGCAAGCTGTGCCGCTACTCGCGTCATGACTGCAGCCGCCGCCGCTTCTGGCATGTCTCCACTGAGCTCCTCGCGTCCATGACTGCAGCCGCCTCCGCCTCCGGCACGCCCGCCGAGAAGAGGCTCAGCTTCACCCCGATCTCGGGCCACTTCGTGACCATCTCGGTATATGCGGGGAGCTTGAGCACCTCGGTCAGGTGGCGCTTGATGTAGGCGAGACAGGCCTTTTCGAGCTGATTGGCCTGGAAGAGGTGCGACTGGCCGAGAATCCCGCAGACCTCGGCTGAGCTGAGCCGTTCGCACAGCTGCGCTTCGCACCACCGCTGCAACCTGGTGGCCTGGTACTTGTGGCTTACAGCGAGCAAGGCCTGCATCTGCAGCAGCTGCACATTGCCATCGCCCCCCTGGTCTGCGCTTGGAGCCCGTGCCCCAAGCTCATCGATGGTGGGCAGGCGGTCGGTGTAGAGGAACTGCAGGAAGGCTTTGAAGGTGGCCACATCACAGTCCTCAACCACGATCACTTTGGACGCCGATTCCTGCATGCCGCCAGTCAGTTGCTTCTCCAACACTTCGGATCTCGCACAGAGGACTTGCGAGTGCGCATGCACATCTTCGCCCTGCACAATGAACCGTACGTCGCTGCACGAGCCTTTCTCCAGCAGAGCTTGCGTGTCACGGTTCATGGTAGCTTCTGGGACCTCGACTGCCTGGCTGAAGAGCTTCGACTCATAACACCCCTCAGGTCGCACTTCAAGCACAAACTTCAGGGTCAGCGTGTCGTCCTCCACCCAGTCGGACTGCAGCAGCTGCTCGAACGTTAGACCGAAGATGCCGGTCACGGTTGGAGGATACGCTTGGCCCTGCCAGTTCACATCGGGACCATAGGCCGTGATCTCACCGTCATGGATTTCATCGTCTGTCTCGCCCCACTGTGCAAAGGATCCATCACGTGCCTTGACGTAGATGCGGTACCGAAGCACGAACTCTTCTGGGGCACATGTCATGATGGCAACGGAGCCCTGCGCCTCTCGATCGTCCCAGCCGAAACTGGAAACGAGATAGCCCCCATGAGGGTTGCAGACAAATTGAAAAGGAAAGCCACCCACCCAGAGCACCTTTGACTTCGCTGCCCAGAGGTCCTCCTGGCGAAGTACACTTGGGAGCCACGAGAGCTGCTGCAATTTCCACACGTACTCGCCCCGGGTGACCGCATGCCCGAAACTGGTGCACAGCTCGTTGTTTGAAGCGGGGATGAGCAGTTGTGGCTTCGAACTCCGAGGACGTACCCTGGAGGAACCGGGAAGATACGGCCCGTCCTGGTCTTGATCCACATTGCTCCGCACGGCCAGCAGGCGTCGGTTGTCTTCCTGACTTGACAACCTTGGTAGCTCAGTCCTCTAGGAATAAAAAGGCCTAAACCCTCAAAAAAAAAAAGTAAGGGCCTACTCTGGGTCCTAGTTAGCATAAGGGCACCCTTTTTGTGGTTGGCTACTGTACAAGGGCAGCTTTGGAGCACAAAAGAAGGGGGCACCAAAAGGGTACCACGGGGCAGACCCAAGCAACAAGCCGGCCCTCTCCTGATCCAGCTCCCGCCGCAGCCTTTGCCTCTCTATGGCCTCCTGGTGGTTTCCGAAATTAGGGGTACCTAGGGTTTAGGGTTTAGGGTTTAGGGTTTAGGGTTTAGGGTTTAGGGTTTAGGGTTTAGGGTTTAGGGTTTAGGGTTTAGGGTTTAGGGTTTAGGGTTTAGGGTTTAGGGTTTAGGGTTTAGGGTTTAGGGTTTAGGGTCTTCTTACAAGGGAATCCTGCTATTTTGGGGGCCTATTTAGGGCCCCCTACTTTCGTAAAGCCCCCCTCCTGGAGCTCGTCGTTCAGCTGCTTCGACCGGTCCTGCTCCGCCCCCCGGCGCTGCCGGGTCGTCTCGATCTCGGCGCGCAGCTCCTCCAGCGTCAGGCCCGCCATGGCACGAAGAGACCTAGGCCCTGGGATGTTTCCCCCCTGTTACGAGCAGCTCCCCAAAAAAGGGATTCTACTAAGGGAGTAGTAGTAGTAGTAGTAGAATCTCTATGAAGGGCGGAAGATGCTGACCTCTCGTTTCTTACAAACCCTAGAAACACTCGGAACAAAAGACCCTAAATCCTAAACCCTAAATCATGGCACAACAGAAACGGCCTTGAAGGTCCCAGGCCAATCTGCTGAAATGAAAGGAGTTCTCCCGCTCTTGAGCGCATCATAGAACATGCCAACAGCACGTCCCGAACGGACATCGCTCAGCGCGTTAAACAGAGGGCGCAACCTTATCCCACACAAATCCCGCGAGATCTCTCAAGAGCCGGTTTAGGGTTTGCGCTTTAGGGTTTAGGGTTTAGGGTTTAGGGTTTCCTCTGGCGGCCCCCGGAAGCCCCAAAGCCCCGCCGAGGCCTGGCGGAGCTTGAAGGTTCAAAGCCCGGCGGATGCGGAGCTCAAACCTGTCGGGGGACCCGTCCGAAACCTTCCTTTTTGGGAAGAGAAAGAGAAAGACAGAGACGGAAAGACAGAGAGAGAGAGAGAGCGCGAGAGAGCGACAGCAACGCACAGAGAGAACAAAAAATGGGAGACAGGGCAGGCAAAGAGAACCCTAAACCCCTAAACCCTAAACCCTAGGGCACAGGGCTTTGAAGTGTTCAGTGTTGCGGCTTGTGGTCTGGCCTTTAAGGTTTTTGTTAACCCCTGAAGCCCTTCCACTCTCGACCCCCCTAAACCCTAAGAGCATCCCAACCCTGGCTTCGGGGTTTGGGGCTTAGGGCTTAGGGCTTAGGGTTTCAGGGTTCATGGTTCAGGGTTCAGGGTTCAGGGTTCAGGGTTTAGGGTTTTAGGGTTTAGGGTTTAGGGTTTAGGGTTTAGGGTTTAGGGTTTAGGGTTTAGGGTTTAGGGTTTAGGGTTTAGGGTTTAGGGTTTAGGGTTTAGGGTTGAGGGTTAAGGGTTTCGGGTTTAGGGGAGTCGAGAGTTGACGGGCTTTAGGAGTTCTAGCGCTCGGTTTGAGGGCTTACGGAAAGTTGAAGGGCGCCAGGCCTCGTAGCCCCTCCGAGTCCAGCTACCAAGGCCACCATGCTGCAACCCTTAAAGCCTAAATGAACCCTAAACCCTAAACCCTAAACCCTATAAACCCTAAACCCTAAACCGATTTCGGATTTGACGCTCAGGCTGTACGCCCCTACTTGAAGGCCCATGACCCTCATAACTGGGCAGAACCTGGAGTTGGAAGTCAACTTTCTACCCTAGAAAAAAGCCAGTTAGCGCCCTAGCCGGCCTGAGCGCCGGAGGCACGAGGCGCTGCCTGTTTAGGGTTGAGGGCTTGTGGCTTAGGGTTTAGGGTTTAGGATGGTTTAGGGTTTAGGGTTTGGGGTTCAAGGCTTATCAGGGCTTGGGGTTTAGAATTTATCGGAGACCGAGTTGAGGAGATACCTTTATGGCAGAAAGAGAGAGGAGGGGGTGAGAGAGAGGGAGGAGGAGAGACCGATCAATGGTCCATTGTGTCCTGCTTCTAAACACTCTAGACCCCCAACGCCCTAAACACCCCTAACACCCTCAACATCCCCAAACCCGAGGAGCCTCTTCATGTATGGGCGGCTTTTGCTTTTGAGTACAGGCCAGTGGTCCCGTACCCTCTAGGAAACCTCAACCCAGCTTGGGGTTACAGGGCAAAACACCCTGAAACCCTGAAAGTCTTTGAAAGCTCAACACCCAATCTACTCGAAAAACTGCAAACCTAAAGCCAGTCTTAAGAGCTTAGGGTTATAGGGTTGAAGGTTTCGGGCTTAGGGCTTAGCCATCTAGGTTCCCCAAACCCTTGTTCAACGCATTTATATGGGGGTTTACGAAAATAAGGCACCCCTAATATAGACCCCAAATAGTAGGATCCCCTGATATCAATAAGGACCCCAATAAGGTACCCCCAATTTCGCGTAAAAGTTGCCAAGTTCAGGGGCCTCAAGGGCCCGAAAAGCCTTTGCTTTTTGAAGGTGTACCGGTATACCGGTATACCATACGGCCCGAAAAACCTTTGCTTGTTTCAAGATTCCTCTCAGAGGGTTCAGAGCAATAACCTACCAGAACAGGAGCTGTCGGATTATTCTCGGGTTGCAGACTGGAGCTTTTCAGGTGGAATTCGGGTGAATTAGGGATGCTAAGGTGCCATTGTAGGAATGATGTTATAGGGCAGCCCTGCTGGAGCTCTGATTTTGACATACCATCTGTCGCAGTGTTCCGAGAGCGGCGCTTAACTCAGCATGTGCCGGCCGAGAGCACATACAGTCCTAAGCACCTTCCCGCGCACTTTCATACTGTTATGCGATTCCTGGCACAGGCTCGCGCCCTCACTTCGCCTCTGCGCTGGTGACTTCTCCGTCGGGTCCCGCCGCGCCTTTGCGGCTGCTCGCCTCCACGACGGCAGCCGCCTCCGCCTCCGGCGCGCCCGCCAAGAAGAGGCTCAGCTTCACCCCGATCTCGGGCCACTTCGCGACCATCTCGGCGTAGGCAGGGAGCTTGAGCACCTCGATCAGGTGCTGCTTGATGTACGTGAAGCAAGCCTTCTCGAGCTGCTTGGCCTGGAAGAGGTGCGCCTGGCCGAGTATCCCGCAGACCTCGGTTGCGCTGAGCCGTTCGCACAGCTGCGCTTCGCACCACCGCTGCAACCTGGTTGCCTGGTACTTGTGGCTCACAGCGAGCAAGGCCTGCATCTGCGGCAGGTGCATGTTGCCATCCTTCCTCTGGTCTGCGCTTGGAGCCTGTGCCGCAAGCTCATTGATGGTGGGCAGGCGGTCGGTGTAGAGGAACTGCAGGAAGGCTTTGAAGGTGGCCACGTCGCAGTCCTCGACAACGATCACCTTGGAGGCCGATTCCTGCATGCCGCCCGTCAGCTGCTTCTCGAAGACTTCGGATCTCGCACAGAGGACTTGCGAGTGTGCATGCACCACTTCACCCTGCACAATGAACCGCACGTCGCTGCACGTGCCTTTCTCCAGCAGAGATTGCGTGTCGCGGCTCATGGTAGCTTCTGGAACCTCGACTACCGGGACTGTTTGGGTGAAGTAGCTGACATCGTCATCCTCCGGACGCACTTCCAGCACAAACTTCAAGGTCAGCGTGTCGTCCTGCACCCACTCGGACTGCAGTAGCTGCTCGAACGTAAGGCCGAAGATGCCGGTCACGGTTGGAGGATCTGCTTGCCCATCAAATCTCACATCAGGACCATAGGCTGCGACACCGCCGTAATGGACTTCATCACGCGTCTCGCCCCATTGTACAAAGGCTCCATCACGACTCCATCACGGGCCTTGACGTAAATGCGGTACCGAAGCGTAAGTCTTTGGTCACCCGCCCATGGCATGATGGCGACGGAACCCTGCGCGTGTCTATAGTCCCAGCCGACATCATTGGACATGAGATAGCCTCCGTGAGGGTTGTAGACAAATGTAAAATCAATGCCAGCCACCACGCAGGAGTGCGCAGACTCCGCTACCCACAGGTTTCCTGGCAAAGCACGCTTGGGAGCCACGAGAGCTGCTGCAGCTTCCACACATACTCGCCCCGAGCGACTTGGAGCCCGAAACTGGCGTACTCCGCCCAGTTCTGCTTTGGTGCCGTGCGAGGCTCGGTCACCGAAGTCCCAAGAGGGTAGGGCCCGGTCCGGTCCTCGTCCACGGCTCTCCGACGAGCATCCAGGCCTTGATGCAAGCCTTGCTTGACAGCCAAGTCGTCTCTTGCTTGCTCCAACTCTCGCCGCAGCCGCTGCCGCTCGTTGGCCTCGTGGAGCTCGGTGCGGATCTGTTGAATCCTATCGTCCTCCGCCGCCACCTGCTGCCTCGTCGCCTCAATCTCGGCGCGCAGCTCCTCCGCTGTCAGGCCGGCCATGGCAGTCAGAAGCCGCAGGGTCCTTGAAGGCGGAGGGCGACTGATCGCTCTGAGATACAGCTCTCAGCTCAACGGCCCAAGAAGGAACTGCCTAGACAAAGTCAAGACTTGCTGGCAAGCAAAATTCGTACGTAATGTTGCACTGTCTTTAGTATGGTCCACCCCCCCCAACAAATTTGGACCCTCTATAAACGCATGGCGCGGCGACCTCCCCAAACAAGTTGGGGGGGGGGGGGGGTGGGGGGGAATCGCCCTCAGGGCCTCAAGCCTTACTGCGTACGCCCTTAACCCAAAACACAAACCCTTAAAACAAAAAGACGTCCGGAAAACACTTGTGATAATAACGGGTACCTCCAACACTCGGTTCCCAGAATAGATTTTGGAAACTTGTGATTATAGAACTTCCTTACAACGAATCAGTCCAACATTAGACGTATGCATGTGCCGCAGAAAGTCGCAGAGACCACCTTAGCACAGAGTCCACAAACTTCCGAGATTCCCCATGCCATGCTCGGTCCCGAAGTACAGCCGCAAGTCTCAGGGAAGTCCACATAAGCCCCACAAGCCCCAAAGCCACACCAGATGAGGCCTCGCAAGCCCCTTCTTGGCTGCACTCAGGAGGGTAGCTATAAATTAAACTTTTAGCTGCCTTAATAAGAAACCCAATAAACCCAAAAAGGTAAGGATCTAAAGTTACAGTAAAGTACCACAAAGCCTTGAGAAGCTCAAAGCAGCGGAGGCCGGAGTGGCAGCCTGAGCTGTGCGCAGAGACCGTGAGGAAGAAAAACCGAGGAGAAGCGAAAGGAAACGAAGAGCGCCCCAACAAGAACCCTAGAGAGAGAGAGAGGAGGAGGGCCCCTCCCCTCGCAGCTTCCAGAAGCTTGGGATGAGTTGGGGTTGAGTGTGGTTTTGGGGTTTAGGTTTCAGGTTTAGGGCTTAAGGGTGTTGAGGGTTTCTTCAGGGGGTTCAAGGTTGAGGGGGGTTGAAGGTTGAGCCGTTGGGGGCTTAGGTTCCGGACTTCGGGATGTTGTCCAAGGCCCCGAATGCTTCCATGGCTTCGCATGGTTATGGGGAGATGCGTTTAGGGGTTCAGGAATTTAGGGTTTAGGGTTTAGGGTTTAGGGTTTAGGGTTTCGGGTTTAGGGTTTAGGGTTTAGGGTTTAGGGTGCAGGCTGTCACACGTCAAGGCGGGGTTTTAGTGCGTAAGAAGCACTTATGGCGGTGTGGGCTTTTGGGTTTCTCCCGAAACTTTGAGGTTGAGCACCCAGCTGTCGGGCTCCAAGGAGTGTACGGCTTGTGAGACCCCCCCGCCTCCTCCCTTGCAGGGTGGACTGCGCGAAGCCAACAATAGACCTCGAACCCCCCCGCCCCTACGCCCCCTAAAGCGCCTCAAGACGCTGGGTCGCCCTTTGGGCTGAGGATAGCGGAGGATCCGAGGGTGGGAGGGAGAGTTGTTGAGGGTTTAAGGGTTGAGGAGCTGTTGAGGGTTGAGGGTTGAGGGTTGAGGGTTGAGGGTTGAGGGTTGAGGGTTGAGGGTTGAGGGTTGAGGGTTGAGGGTTGAGGGTTGAGGGTTGAGGGTTGAGGGTTGAGGGTTGAGGGAAAGTGGAGGAGGGCGCCCCTGGGTCTCCCGGAATCCCTGCTAAACTCCCCCCACTCCCTGCTGCCTACGGGGCCCTTCTGGGTTCGGGCGCTTGAGGGGCTTGAGGGTTTTCGGGTCGATCTGGGCGGGGGGGGGGGGGCCTCCTAAAACCTGGACGTTCGTGTGTTTCGCAACAGGCTACAAGAGGAGTAGCCCTTGAACCCCTAGAACCCCGAGCTGTGCAAGAATGGGTTTCAGCGCCTGCAGCGGGCGGGAACTGGCGGCCTCCAGCGTCTTCTTTACTTCGGGATTGGGGGTTTGGTGCAGCTTCGGGTTTAGGGTTTCGAGTTTAGAGAGTTTAGAAAAGAGGAGGGTTCAAGGTTTGGGTCTAGGAATTTGCGTTTGTCCTAACCCAGGGCTGAGGATTGAGGGGTTGAGACCGGGGACAGGGCAGTTTTCGTGATGCTTTTTTGGGGGGAGGGGAGGCTACTATTTGCTGAAGACCCCTCAAAAATAAAACAAAAAGTTCTTCCTTATAGTTCTATAAGGGTACTAGGGGGGTCTTAAGCAAATAGCAGGAACGGGGTCATGATCTCCCACGCCTGCTTCTGAGAGGGGGAAGAGGGAAGCAGGCCCGAATGCACAGAAGAGGCCTGCTATGACAGCTTACACCCTAAACCCTAAGACCCTTTCAACATCAGAAAAACTCTGATTTTGATATGCCGCCTGTCACTGTGGAGGACGGTGCTTAGCTTGGTACGTGCCGAGAGCACAGTACAGTCCTAAGCACCTTCCCGCGCCCTTTCATGCTGCCAGGCGGATCCTGGCGCAGGCTCGGGCGTCACTGTGCCTCTGCGCTGGTGATGACTTCTGCGTCGGGTCCCGACACAACGGTGCAGCTGCTGGCCTCCACGACGGCAGCCGCCTCCGCCTCCGGCGCGCCCGCCAAGAAGAGGCTCAGCTTCACCCCGATCTCGGGCCACTTCGCGACCATCTCGGCGTAGGCAGGGAGCTTGAGCACCTCGATCAGGTGCTGCTTGATGTACGTGAAGCAAGCCTTCTCGAGCTGCTTGGCCTGGAAGAGGTGCGCCTGGCCGAGTATCCCGCAGACCTCGGTTGCGCTGAGCCGTTCGCACAGCTGCGCTTCGCACCACCGCTGCAACCTGGTTGCCTGGTACTTGTGGCTCACTGCGAGCAAGGCCTGCATCTTCGGCAGGTGCATGTTGCCATCCTTCCTCTGGTCTGCGCTTGGAGCCTGTGCCGCAAGCTCATCGATGGTGGGCAAACGGTCGGTGTAGAGGAACTGCAGGAAGGCTTTGAAGGTGGCCACGTCGCTGTCCTCGATCACGATCACCTTGGAGGCCGATTCCTGCATGCCGCCCGTCAGCTGCTTCTCGAAGACTTCGGATCTCGCACAGAGGACTTGCGAGTGCGCGTGCACCACTTCACCCTGAACAATGAACCGCACGTCGCTGCACATGCCTTTCTCCAGCAGAGCTTGCGTGTCGCGGTTCATGGTAGATTCCGGAACCTCGACTACCGGGACTGTTTGGGTGAAGTAGCTGACATCGTCATCCTCCGGACGCACTTCCAGCACAAACTTCAAGGTCAGCGTGTCGGCCTCCACCCACTCGGACTGCAGCAGCTGCTCGAACGTCAGGCCGAAGATGCCGGTCACGGTTGGAGGATCTGCTTGCCCATCCCAACTCACATCAGGACCATAGGCTGCAGAACCGCCGTAATGGACTTCATCATGTGTCTCGCCCCACTGCGCCCAGGTTCCATCCTGTGCCTTGACGTAAATGCGGTACCGAAGCACAAGTCGTCTTTCGTTCTCATCTGTCATTATGGCGACGGAGCCCTGTGCAACCCAGCCAGCATCATCGGACATGAGATAGCCTCCGTGAGGGCTGTAGACAAATTGAAACTTAATGCCAGCCACCAAGAGGTGCTCAGACTGCGCTGTCCAGAGGTTTTCCTGGCGAAGCACACTGGGGAGCCACGAGAGCTGCTGCAGCTTCCACACATACTCGCCCCGAGCGACCAGGTGCCCGAAATTTGTACACTCCGCCCCGTTAGAAGGCAATAAGACGGGCTGCTTTGGTGCCGTGTGAGGGCCGGTCATTGATCTCCCAGGAAGGTAGGGCCCAGCCCGGTCTGCATCCACGGCTCTCCAATGAGTGTCCAGATAACCATGCTCGTCTTGCCTGAAAGCCAAGTCGTCTCTTGCTTGCTCCAACTCTCGCCGCAGCCGCTGCCGCTCGTTGGCCTCCTCGATCTCGGTGCGGATCTGTTGAATCCTATCGTCCTCCGCCGCCACCTGCTGTCTCGTCGCCTCAATCTCGGCGCGCAGCTCCTCCGCTGTCAGTCCGGCCATGGCAGTCAGAAGCCGCAGGGTCCTTGAAGGCGGAGCGCGACTGATCGCTCTGAGATACAGCTCTCAGCTCAACGTTCCAAGAAGGAACTAGACAAGGTCAAGACTTGTCGGCAAGCAAAATCTGTAGACATGTTAATATAATATGCATTTGCCGCAAAAAGTCTCAGAGACCATCTTGTAGCACGGCGTCCTTCCGAGGCTCCCTATGCTATGCTAGGTCCCGAAGTACAGCCGCAGGTCAAGGGGGCTCAGGGAAGTTTTGTAAGCCGAAGAATCCCCAAAGCTGCACCGGGCGAGGCCTCACAAGCAGCCGCCCCTCGCGAAACTCAAGCACCGGCGGAGGCCGGGGCGGAGCCTGAGCCGTGCGCAGAGGGCTCGTGGGCCTTCCCGCCAACCGTTAAGGAAGCAAAGGCGAGGAAAAGCAAAAGAGAACGAAGAGCACCCTGTACACTAACCCTAGAAGAAGAGAGGCGGAGGGCCTCTTTTTTCGCAGCTTCAAGAAGCCTTGGGATGACTTAGGGTTGAGGGTGTAAGGGGCTAAGGGGTGTAGACGGCCCAGACTTGTTTGCGCTAGTCAAGGGGATAGCAGCCTATGCTTAGGGTCTTCAAGCGTTTTAGGGTTGAGGAGCCGCAGGGCCTAAACATCTTTACGAAAGCCGGTGCACATCCCATGCTGACAGTGTGGGCTTCGTGATCTGGGATTTCGGGGGGTTCAGCAGGCATTCAGGGTTGAGGGGTTCCCTAAACCCTCAACCATAAACTCCCTAAATCCTAAGCCCTAAACCCTTTATCCTAAACCCTGTTCCCTAAACTTCCCAAACTCCCTAAACCGTAAGGCTAAGCGCTTGGGGGCTTCGGCTCTGGGCTTCGGTGTGTCGTTCATCGCACGGCCGAGGGCAACTTAAAGACTCGTGGGGCTCAAAGGTTCAGGATGCTTCCATGGCCTTCGGGTTTAGGGTTTCGGGTTTAGGGTTTAGGGTTTAAGGTTTTGGGGTTTAGGGTTTAGGGTTTAGGGTTTAGGAGGCTGTCACGTCAAGACGCCAGGGCTCAGTGAGTTGTAGTGCTTAATAAGCACCTGCAGAGGGGCTTCGGGGTTTAGGGTTTCCCCTAAGCTTTTACGGTTCGGAGTCGCAGCTTGCCACCCTAAGCCTCCAATCCCTTGAGCACCTACACCCCCTATGCGCCCTAAAGAACCCTAAAGCCCCCTGAAACCCCAAAGCTGAGGTCGTCGCCGTGCTGCGCCCTGTCGCGCGGAACTGACAGGCTTCCAGCTGTTGCGTGTGTACGTGCCGTTTGGGGGGCCTTTCCCTAAGCCCTAAGCCCTAAACCCTAAACCCTAAACCCTAAACCCTAAACCCTAAACCCTAAACCCTAACCATGTTTCCTTTTGGGGGGGGGGGGAGGGGGGCCGAGCAGCTGATGAGTTGAAGGTTCTGAGCCGCGCAGTAGAGCTTTGGGTTGGAGGGGGCTTGGGGGATCCAGTCCTAGGGTTTAGGGTTTAGGGTTTAGGGTTAAGGGTTAAGGGTGAAGGGTGAAGGGTGAAGGGTGAAGGGTTAAGGGTTTAGGGTTTAGGGTTTAGGGTTTAGGGTTTAGGGTTTAGGGTTCATAGCTTGTAGAGTTGAAGGTTTGAGTGTTTAGGGTTTAGGAACTTGCTGTGGGATTTTGGGCGCGGTCCTAACCCAACGCCAAGGGCTCTGAGGATTGAGGGGTTGAGACTGGGGATGGGGCAGCCGGGCATTGTCCGTGATGTTTTGGTGAGGGAGGGGAGGCTGCTACTTGCTTAAGAACCCGCAAAGAAAATAGAAAACAACAACATTCTTCCGTAGAAGGGTAATATAGGGATTACTATCTTCTTTTTTTTTTGGGGGGGGGGGGGGGGGGGTTGAGCAAATAGTAGGACGAGGGTCATGAGCTTCCAGTCCAGGTTTCTGAGTCACCCACGTCTACTCTGAGGGGGCGGCAAGAGGGAAGCGGGCCTGAATGCACGGAAGAGGCTTGCTGTGAGAGCTTACACCCTCAAGCCCCTAAGACATCCTAAGCTCTGATTTTGACATGCCGCCTGTCGCTGTGTTTGGACGGCGGGCGCTTAACCCAGTACGTGCCGGCCGAGAGCACATACAGTCCTAAGCACCTTCCCTGACAGCATCGCGGGGCAGTCACTGTGCCTCTGTGCTGGTGGTGACTTCTCCGTCGGGTCCCGCCGCGCCTTTGCGGCTGCTCGCCTCCACGACGGCAGCCGCCTCCGCCTCCGGTGCGCCCGCCAAGAAGAGGCTCAGCTTCACCCCGATCTCGGGCCACTTCGCGACCATCTCGGCGTAGGCAGGGAGCTTGAGCACCTCGATCAGGTGGTGCTTGATGTGCGTGAAGCAAGCCTTCTCGAGCTGCTTGGCCTGGAAGAGGTGCGCCTGGCCGAGTAACCCGCAGACCTCGGTTGCTCTGAGCCGTTCGCAAAGCTGCGCTTCGCACCACCGCTGCAACCTGGTGGCCTGGTACTTGTGGCTTACAGCGAGCAAGGCCTGCATCTGCGGCAGCTGCACATTGCCATCGCCCCTCTGGTCGGCGCTTGGAGCCTGTGCCGCAAGCTCATCGATGGTGGGCAAACGGTCGGTGTAGAGGAACTGTAGGAAGGCTTTGAAGGTGGCCACCTCACAGTCCTCCACCACGATCACCTTGGAGGCCGATTCCTGCATGCCGCCGGTCAGCTGCTTCTCCAACACTTCGGATCTCGCACAGAGGACTGGCGAGTGCGCATGCACCACTTCACCCTGAACAATGAACCGCACGTCGCTGCACGAGCCTTTCTCCAGCAGAGCTTGCGTGTCGCGGTTCAGGGTAGCTTCTGGAACCTCGACTGCCTGGCTCAGGACCTTCGAGGCACAACACCCCGCAGGTCGCACTTCCAGCAGGAACTTCAAGGTCAGCGTGTCGGCCTCCACCCACTCGGACTGCAGCAGCTGCTCAAACGTCAGGCCGAAGATGCCGGTCACGGTTGGAGGATCTGCTTCCCCATCCCAACTCACATCAGGACCATAGGCTGCGACACCGCCGTAATGGACTTCATCACGCGTCTCGCCCCACTGTGCAAAGGCTCCGTCACGTGCCTTGACATAAATGCGGTACCGAAGGGAGAGTCTTTCGCCAGCACATGTCATTATGGCAACGGAACCCTGCGCATATGAAATCTCCCGGCCGAAGATGGAGTCAAGATAGCCGCCGTGAGGGTTGTAGACAAATTGGAAGCTGAAGCCACCCACGCCGAAAATCTGAGACTTCGCTGTCCAGAGGTTCTCCTGGCGAAGCACGGTTGGGAGCCACGAGAGCTCCTGAAGCGTCCACGTACTCGCCCCGAGCGACCTCGTGGCCGAAGCTGGTGCGCTGCTTGACGCTTGAAGCCGACAGGAGCTGCGGCAGCTGCGGCTTTGAAGTGGGAGGCGGGGGAAGCCTGGCCACGGAAAGACGAGGCCCACCGATGTCTGCGTTCACACGGTTCAAGAAGCCAATGCGATTTTGGTTGTGTAGTTGCTGGTCCGACAAGACGTCTGTTTCCGCCTCCAGCTCGCGCCGCAGCCGTTGCCGCTCTATGGCCTCTTCGATGTCAGCCTCGATCTGATTCGTCCTGTCTGCCTCCGCCGCCTGCCGCTGCCTGGTCGCCGCGATCTCGGCGCGCAGCTCTTCCACTGTCATGTCGGCCATGGCACTCAGGTCGGCCATGGCAGAGGCAGAGGGCCACTTCCCTTGGATCAACGTCCCAAGCCCTCCGAGACCCAAGGAACTCGACAGAGTCAAGAATTGGCAGCGAGCAAGAGTTGTATGTACCCGGATTTTCCAAAAACCTTCAATTAAGGAATACCTACCCAGATTCATCATATTGATCCTTAGTATAAATTCGGGCACATTCCTTTGTTACGCGGTTTTGGAGATCTGGGTATGCATGTGTCGCAGAAACCCCAACAGCTTCCGAGGCTGTCTTGATGCACTATAGGTCCGAAACGGACAAAACCCTAAACCCAGGCAACAGGCAGGCCGGACCCCCAACCCGGAACCCCAAACCCTAAACCCTAAACCCTAAACCCCTTCAAAGCCCCAGGAGCTCCAAAGCCGTGCCGGACGAGGCCTCGCAAGCCCCTGGCGAACATTCCCATCGACAGCGGAGGTCAGGGGCTTCGCCTCGCGCACACTACAGCCACTACAGGGGTTTCGGGGTTTGGGGTTTTAGGGTTTAGGGTTTAGGGTTTAGGGTTCAGGGTTTAGGGTTTAGGGTTTGGGTTTAGGGTTCAGGGCTTAGGGTTTAGGGTTTAGGGTTTAGGGTTTAGGTTAATGGTTTAGGGGGTTTAGGGGGTTGGTTCACGGGTTTAGGATGGTTTAGGGGACTTAGGGTTGCGGGCTTTGGGTAGCACTTATAGGGGTTTCCTCGGACCCTACATAAACTTCTAAGCGCCCTAAACCCTAAACTCTAAACCCTAAACCCCTAACCCAGAGCTGTCGCTTTCTGGGTTTTAGGGCTCCTGGGAATCTGCTGGCCGTACTGAATCCCCCAAACCTCTTGGGTTTGGGGACCCTCCCTAAACCTAAACCCCCAAACCCTAAACCCTAAACCCTAAACCCTAAACCCTAAACCCTAAACCCTAAACCCTAAACCCCCAAACCCTAGAGGAATGTGAGGGCCATACTAGGAGTATCCGCATGGGCTCATGTTGCAAGTCTCTAGACCCCTAAACCCTAAACCCTAAACCCTAAACCCTAAACCCTAAACCCTAAACCCTAAACCCTAAACCCTAAACCCTAAACCCGAAACCCAATGCGTCTTCTAGACCCGAAGCTGGGCCATTAAGGGAAACCTCTTCGGGGTACAACCTTAGGGGGTGCGAGTCTGCATCACTTCCCCCGGTGTATTTAAATACCCCTTCTGATTATAAAAACACTTTCCGCAAAATCCTGCCGAAACCGACCCGCCCTTCTAAACCCTATTCCGAATTTGGGGGGGGCGGGGTTCAGGGCCTCAAAAAACCTTCAAGCCAATCTAAAACCCTATTGGATAAAAACCTCCCCCTAATGTTGAAAACACATTTCGCGTTTCTATTGGGGGGGTTGGGAGGTGCCCCGTTTGATAATTGGGGAAAACGACTCATCTCCATAAAACCCTAAACCCCAAACCCAAAACCCTAAAACCCTATAACACCTAGAACCCTACAGCACACATCCCAAGCTCCCGTCTTCCAAGGCAAGACGGTTTCGAGTTTAGGGTTTAGGGTTCAGGGTTTAGGGTTTAGGGTTTAGTGTTTAGGGTTTAGGGTTTAGGGTTTAGGGTTTAGGGTTTAGGGTTTAGGGTTGGAAACCCAGCGTGAACCTCTTGAACCCCCGAAGTCACCCGAGGTCGTCGCCAGGCTGCGCCCTGAAGCGTTCAGCGGCCTGCAGTGGCTGGGGGATCTGGCATCTTTCATCGGTTCCCCTGATACCCCCGTCTATGCTACACCCCCACCCTTTTTGGTTCCCCCCGTTTAAACAGCCTTGATTATCCCTAAACAACCTTGATTATAGGGGGGGTACCTATGGGGGTAGTTTTGAAGGGGGGCAAGAGGGGAACCGATGAAGCCGGCACTTCGGAGTTTGGTGTCGTGCGGATTGGGTGCAGGGTTTCGGGGCTTAGGGTATTCAGCGCTTGGTGCCTCCTGCGGCCGTGTTCGGCTGACCTTGTCTAGGAGAACTTAGGGGTCTAGGGTGTAAGGAGTGGTGCCACCCTAACGCCCTAAACCTCAAACCCTGAACCCTAAGCCCTAAACCTTAAAGGGGTTTGGGGTTTCGGGGGCTTCGGGGTCACTCACTGCCTCGCTGTGGCTACCGGAGACTCCGCTTTTGGAACAGTCACGCCACAGCTGTCAGTCGCGCTTTCCCTCGATGAAGCGCCCGCAGACTACATCCTGCGACGCAGCCAGCGTGCAGCGCAACTTCGAGCTAAATTTGGCTTCTCGCTGAGTAGACATGCGGTCCCGGACCCTATGCTGTGCATCTATGAGCTGCATGCTTCTGTACAAGAACGCTCTGTGTACATTGTTTCTCCCTCTCTCTCTCTGTGTTCTCTTTTCTCTGTAAAGTTTAGGAAAGCCCATGATTGCGGTTTGGGGCTTCGAACACATCCTTATATGGATCTTAAGACTCAACTTACCCAAGTGTAGGCTCCGACTTCTTCCTTTCACACTAAACCCTAAACCCTAAACCCTAAACTCTAAACCCTAAACCCATTGATGGGACAGCTGGCGTTGCATCCCCGTGAAGCCTTGTCTTCGGCACCGGCTAATGGAAGCCCAAAGTTGAGGGCTGATGGGGTCTAGGGGGGGTTGAGGGGTTTGAGGAGTTTAGGGTTTAGGGTCTGAGGGGTTTGAGGGGTTTGAGGGGTTTGAGGGGTTTGAGGGGTTTGAGGGGTTTGAGGGGTTTGACGGGTTTGAGGGGTTTGAGGAGTTTGAGGGGTTTGAGGGGTTTGAGGGGTTTGAGGGGTTTGAGGGGTTTGAGGGGTTTGAGGGGCTTGAGGGGTTTGAGGGGTTTGACGGGTTTAGGGTTTAGGGTTAGGGTTTAGGGTTGAGGGTTTAGGGTTGAGGGTCCTGGGGGTGTCGGGATGTCGGGTTGAGGGGGTTTATTGGGGGTTCACCCTCCCAGCTTTGAGGGCTGACAGAAAGCCCTACAGGCCCTAAACACCCCAAGACCCTGGAAAAATGGAGTCTAGGGCGGATAGTGCTGAGGTTTTTCAAGATTCAGGTGCCCAGGTATTTAGGGCTCAGGGCCTTAGGGCTTGCTGATGAATTCCGGAATGTCTCGGAAAGGCCCTCACTTCAGCCGGAGCCCAGGAACTCTAGAGCCTCAAGTTGCAACCTTGAAACGAAAGGCTGTAGGGAGCACTCTACGACACCGGCCCAGGGGTTACAAGGGCCAGGGATCTTGCCGGGCCAAGAGCCGAAGGTTTTGCCTGACCGAGACATCCCCCGACAGTATTAGCAGCTGCCCAGAACTCAGGGCATATGACATATTAAATTGGCGGCTGCAAGCCTGCAAAACATGGGCAGTGGCTCGGGCGTGCTTTGCTGCGGGACGCCACGTACGGGTAAATCATCACCCGAAGCGTGCACCCAAAACGGTGGCAAAGCTACCCTGCCTGCAAAGCCTGCCCACACCAAGACCCCCCGAGCTGGAGAATCTGCAAACTAAACGCCCCTTTCAAGCCCTCAAAACATTCGCCCTGAACCCTAAAACCCTCAACCCTAGACCGTAGAACCCCAAGAGTCCACCCCAAACCCTCCAAATCCCCGATCCAGCCCTTGAAGACCTGGTTGCTACACGGAACCGCATCCCAAAAAGCCCCCCTCTCCCTAACCTGCATGCGCCGAATTCGGTGTTGAGTTCAGTCTCCACCCGAGTCAGAGTCCGTGCCCGTCGGGTCGCAGATCTCCCGGTGCAGCTCAAGGGCCTGCTTCTGGCGATTAGGCTTTCAGGGTTTAGGGTTTTGGACTTAGGGCTTAGGGTTTAGGGTTTAGGGTTTACGGTTTGGGAGTTGAGGGTTTAGGAGTTGAGGGTTTAGGAGTTGAGGGTCTAGGAGTTGAGGGTTTAGGAGTTGAGGGTTCGGGTTTGGGTTTATTGGTTGAGAGTTTAGGGTTTTGGGGGGCTTGGGTTTTAGGGTTACGTCGGAGCAACTCACCGGCTTCTGTTCTTGGCAGGTCAGATTTTTCGGAAGGTTGCCCCTAGTATGCTGCCTTACCCTCGTCGATAGGGATCCGAAGTATGGGCCCCCCTATTGTGCATGGCGCATATCACAAGGGGCCCAAGGGCCCACACTACCCCCGCTGAGGACTTCGGGCTCAGGGCGTCTGGGGCATGAGGTGAATCGTTAAACTCTAGCACTCCCAAGTCCTAGGAGACAGGAAGGGTCTGGGGTTTCAAAGGTCTAAAGTTTAGGGTTTAGGGTTTAGGGTTTAGGGTTTAGGGTTTAGGGTTTAGGGTTGCCATATAGTACATGCCCGAGCTTGCAACTAACAAACGCCCTAAACCCCTTCCGAAACCCTTGAACCTTCAGATTATTGCCCTGAATGACCCTGAAACCCTCTCTAGGCTATATCCCTCCCTAATCCCCAAACCCTAAACCTTAAACCCTAAACCCTAAACCCTAAACCCTAAACCCTAAACCCTAAACCCTAAACCGAAACCCCACAGACGCTTTTCACCCTGGCCTTGTCTAGAATCCGCTGATGTTTCCTGGGCTCTCTTTGGGGATGAAAACAAGAACCCTGAAACCCCTAGACCCCATTGGAGCCCGCAGACTGGCATTCTACCCTAGAAGCCTATATAAACCCTAAACGCTAGACCCTTAACCAACTGAGTTGGGACTTGGGTTTTTGGGTTTTGGGTTATAGGGTTAGACTTTAGGGTTCAGGGTTCAGGATTTCGGGTTTCGGGTTTAGGGTTTAGGGTTCAGACCCCAAGTTTTGAAAAGTACTGGTGAGCCGGGCGTCTTGAGCTTCTTGCACGACTTCTGCCTTTGCTTCTCCAGGCCCTCCAGTACCTGAGCGACTTGGGCGTGCTCAGGGCCCAGGGCCTTAAAGCCCTAAAGCCCAAACCCTAAACTCTATGCATTAAAACGCGATGCTCTATACCCTGAAACCCCCCAGGCCCAGAGCCCTAACACCCTAAAGCCCTGAACCCTAAAACCCTAAAAACCCCCTAAAACT